TGCCGATTCGGCACCCGGTGAAGATATGAATATGTCTGCCCCATTTGTGACGTGGTCTCAGCCACACCACATCAATTTACCAATCACATACGCTGTCACAACTACACCTCAGGGAATACGGAAAACTTCACCTGCCGTATTTGCTCAAAGGTGAGTAGTGAATATCAATGTTTTTTTTTAATTAAATTTTGTAAAATTTTTATTTTTTGCATTTAAAAATGTTGTCCTCCCTGAAATTTTCTAATGTTTTTCAATTTTTCCTTTCTCCTTCCGTTCCTCTTCTAGGTCCTCTCATCTGCCTCATCATTGGATCGTCACGTTTTGGTGCACACCGGCGAACGACCATTCAATTGTAAATATTGTCATCTCACTTTTACCACCAACGGCAACATGCATCGCCACATGCGCACTCACAAACAGCATCAGCACACCCATCATCGACGCAACTCGAATGGAACAAAGTTCAACTCCAAGTCGGCGGCAACATCGAACAGCAACACAACCGCTCCAGCTAATGCCACAACTCCATTAAGCAATGGACAATTAAATGAAGGCGTTAAATTATCAGCAGCTTTGGCAATGGCAACAGCGTCAAATGCCGTCGCTTCAGCTGCCACAACAACAACAACTACAACAACACCAGCTACAACACACGATAATCATAATCATCACATCGAGACAGGTGCTAATGACAAGCGATTAAATGGTAACGCCGAAACATCAGCCATAGAAAGTTATGAAAGTGATGGCGGCTGTTCCACAGATACATCCACGGGTCACCAGCACAACAACAATAACAACAACAATGACTTGAAAATTAACAATAACAACTATAAACGTAAGCTAAGTAATGATAATGATGAACATGATCTCGAACAACAGCAGCAACAAAAACCCCCAACTCCTGAAGAACTATTAAAGCAGCATTTAAAAGCTTTGGCCAACGCCGCCTGCCCTCCCAGCTCACAAACAAATGGTGAAAAATCATCAACCCCAAACCACAACAACAATGAATCTGTAATGTGTCCCATTTGCAATGATGATGAATTCACCAGTGTCACCGCCCTCGATCAACACATGGATGCCAAACATCCCGAAATACCAGCCAAATGTACAAATTGTGAGGTTATCTTCAGGACTCATCACCAGCTCAGCATGCATCCCTGCACTGCTGACATTAAATCGGAGCGTAGAGAACATTTTACACCTCGATCACATCGTTCAAGGGAAAATTCTCTCGACAATTGCCCACAAGAGGAATCACACGCAGAAGAACTTCACGATAACGCCACTGAGGAACAACAACGCCGTCGTGAGGAACTCTTCCGTCACTTGCAACTGAAAAATATGATGGCCCAAGCCAATGCCTCCTCACCTTCCTCCCATCACAACATTGAATTAACCGAAGATGATATTAAATCGGAACCCTCTGCTGGCCACGATTCCAAAGACTTGGCTGATATTCAATCGATTTTGAATATGACCTCATCATCGAATACCTCTAATTTCCTCAAGAACTTTGAACAATCGGTGAACACCCCCTCCTCTCAGTTCAGCTATGATCGTGACGAGGAAGAGGCTCAAGATGTTTTCACAGCCGAATTCCGTAAAATGAAGCTGCGTGGTGAATTCCCCTGCAAACTGTGCACAGCAGTATTCCCCAATTTGCGTGCCCTGAAGGGTCACAATCGTGTCCATTTGAGCGAAGTTGGCCCAGCAGGTCCATTCCGTTGCAACATGTGCCCCTACTCCATCTGCGACAAGGCTGCCCTAGTACGTCACATGCGCACCCACAACGGCGACCGGCCCTATGAATGTGCTGTCTGCAATTACGCCTTCACCACAAAGGCTAATTGCGAACGTCACTTGCGCAACCGCCATGCCAAAACCACACGCGAGGATGTCAAACGTGCCATTATCTATCATCCCTCGGAGGATTCCAGCTGTGATGATCCCAACAAGAAACAACATCTCTTCTCTTCGCCTGAAATTGATGATGACAGCGAATACTACCATCATCAGCCACACCCCAAGGATCGTTCCACACCCGTTTCACATCTCAAGGAGATGTTGACTCAGGGTGTTGGAGAACACAATTCTGGAAAGCCTGTCAAGATCCAAGTGAAAAATCTAAATGAACTATTGGACAAATCCTCAGCCTCTTCGGCCTATGGCGATAGCTACAATGACAAGCGTCCCGTGGACATTACCACTGCATCAGCAGCACCCCTTGATATGAGCATGGATGTTCTGGATTTGAGCAAGAAACCCAATAACACACAAACAAACGCACAAAATCCCCCCGAACCAAAGGTGGCCTTGGATGCCCCCTTGCCTTTGTTACAAAAAGATGATGCAATTCCATCGGTGTTGCCCACCACAGCTGCCACCAATGAGGATGTCGCCAACAAGGCTGCCGATTTGACATCGTTGGAAAAACAACAACAATTCCTGATGGGTCATCAACCATGGCTCAATGATCCTGCTCAATATCTACAGCAATTGTATCGCATTCAATTGTTGTTCCCTCAACTCAATCCCTTCCTGATGCCCAACTCACCGTTCATGCCAAATAATTTGGATTTCCAAAAATTGGCTCCCTTCTTTAGGACCATGTTGGGCGCCACTGGTGCTGCTCCTGCCATGCCAACACCAGCTGATTTAGAAAAAATCATGAACCCATCAGCAGCCTCTATGGCTGCAATGCCACCAATCAGCCCAATGATGTCGGAGAAATCCAACACAGCTCCAATGCCCTCGCCCAAGCCTGCTGGTCTACTCTCGCCCAATCCCAGTCACTTGAATATTCCCCGTCATGTTGTGAATCCTTCATCAATGGCTGGCGGTCAAGTTCCTCACTTGCCACCCACCATGTTGTCAAATGGTCCCGTTAAAATGGTGCTCAAGAATGGTGTCTTTATGCCAAAACAAAAGCAGCGCCGTTATCGCACCGAACGTCCCTTCGCCTGTGAACACTGCTCGGCCCGTTTCACCTTGCGCTCGAATATGGAACGTCACGTGAAGCAACAACATCCTCAATACTATGCTCAACGTCAACGTAGCGGTCATCATGTTATGCGTGGACGCGGTGCCAGCAGTGCTGCCAATATGAATGGCATTACCCATCTGCAGGCGGCAGTAGCCGCCCAGGCCCACTACGGTTCCAGTAGCAACAATCATTCACCCATTTCCGATCAAGTCAAATATGCCATTTTGGCTCAGCAGTTGAAGGCCCGCAAGGATCCTGATTTGTTGCAGCAAGCCTTGGTCCATGGCTCCAATAGTGTTGCCAATTCGAATATGTTTTTGGGAGGCCTTAATGGCAATGGTGTCGCCAGTGGATTTCCCCACTATGGATCCTCTTCTGCCCAACAACAACAACAACATCTGAGTCAAAATGGTACACCTAATGGTTCAATGGAAGATGATGAACCCAAACTGGTGATTGATGAGGATGAAGATGACGAAGAAGATGGTGATGATGTCGAAGAGATCCATGATGATCAGGATTATGACTACGATCACAATGATATACAATTAATGGAAAAAGATCATGGCGTGGATGATGATGAGGAGGAGGAGCAGGACGATCATGCCGCCGTTGAGGAAAATCAATTACCCACCACTGTGGAGGAAGTTAAACTTAAAAATGAGGTCAACGAGGAACCCAAAGGGGCAGCCAAAAAAGTGGCTGAATCTATTTTGGAGCAAGCCATTAAGGCTGCACCAAAACCCTCAACAGAAATGGTGCCAAACAGCAGTACCCTGAAGTCGATGATTGCTCAAGCCCCTGCTGTGGGTAAATCACTTAAAGATGTGGCCAGTTCTGCTTTCAAAGATGAATCTCAGGATTTGGTACCAGTGGCAAAGTTGGTGGACAATGCCACCAGTAATTCGGTCTCGTTTAACAACTATTTCCGTCCCGGAGATGCTGCCAACCACATGGATCAAAGTGATGAAGAAGGTTTGGTGGCCTCAGGCAGTGCCAGTGAAAGCAACAATTCCGGTGCTGAAGATGCTGCCAGTGGTGTTCCCACTAAGAAGAAGTCAGCCTACAGTTTGGCGCCCAATCGTGTATCGTGTCCCTATTGTCAACGCATGTTCCCATGGTCTAGTTCTCTGAGACGTCACATCTTGACGCACACTGGCCAGAAACCCTTCAAGTGCTCGCATTGTCCACTGCTCTTTACCACCAAAAGTAACTGTGATCGCCATTTGTTGCGTAAGCATGGTAATGTAGAATCGGCCGTTTCCGTCTATGTACCCGATGAGGATGTCAACGAACCCATTCCATTGCCCAAATCCGTCGAGGAAATTGAACGCCAGCAAAGAGAACGTGAAGAGGAGGAAAAACGTCGTTTGGCTGAGGAAAAGGAGCGCGAACAAAAGGAAAAGGAATTACGCGAAAAAGAACAGCAATTGGAACACGAACGACAACAACAACGTCAGGCCATATTGAAGCAATTGGCAGCAGTACAGCAGTATAATCAATTTCAATTGAAATCGGAAACCTCCTCCTCCGCCACTGTGGGTATCTCCTCTTCCGAATTACCCTACAAATGTCATTTGTGTGAGAGTTCCTTTGCCGAGCGGAACCAATGTCTGGAACACATCAAATGTTACCACTTGCAAGAATACGAATTGCTGTTGTCCAAAGGAGCCATCGACAATGAGTCGGAGGCAGCAGCTCAGATTCAATCGAACGAAGAGGAAGAACGCCAGCGAGCCAATGAGGAGGCCAACAAGGGCGGCAAATATCCCGATTACAGTAACCGCAAAGTGATTTGTGCTTTCTGCATGCGTCGTTTCTGGTCCACTGAAGATTTGCGCCGTCATATGCGTACCCATTCCGGCGAGCGGCCATTCCAATGTGAAATCTGCCTACGCAAGTTTACGCTGAAGCATAGCATGTTGCGTCACATGAAGAAGCATAATGGTGGCATGAGCATGAATGGTTCGCATCATGGTATGGATGGTTTGAATAATGGCAATAGCTGTTCCGACTATTCGGATGATGAACAGGCTAGTGGACCACCAGCAGCACCACCTGCCGCCATGACAAATGCCAATATCAACGCTTTGTTTATGGGTTCCATGAATTCCAAAATTCAGGAATTGCTCAGCAAAGCCAGTGAATGGGGCAGCAACAATGGTTCAGTGCTGCGGGAACGCAAACAAAATATGGCCGATGATAACGGTATGCAGCCTCAATCGGATTTAATTGGAAATCTATTGGGTATCAGTGATCAGGGTATTTTGAATAAATTAATGTCATCACCGGATGAGGCAGCCAAGCTGTTGGGAGTTGAAAAATAAATGGGGAGTGGCAAAATGTGACCCTTGGTAACAAAGGGGTGTCGCGCTCACTCTCGGATTTTTTACTCTCTCACGTTTAGAAAACGATGTTCTCTAGTCATTTGTGACAACAAGTTCTCTTTTTATGTGGATTTGCACATTTACACTCTCTTGCGGGTATTTATTTCTCTTGCTCACTCTCTGGGTTTGAACTGAGTTCCGGGAAACTCGGGTAGGGGAAGCCCCGCATATATCCTTAAAACTAAAAAAAAACTTTAAATTAAAGTTTCATTTTTTGATCATTTTCATTAGACTTTTCTTACAACAACAAACAAGACAAGACATAACAACAACAAAAACCAAAGTTTACTCTTATAAATATTATTATTATTTTTTTTTAATTTTCTTAGATTTTTCTTTTAAATATTTTGTATTTTAAAATATTTTAGATCATAGGATAGTTTTAGCTAGTTCTAGTAAATAATTTAAAAGAAAATAATTTTTAACAAAAACAAAAAACAAATTTATATAAGAAAACGTTGTGAACAATATGTTGATATCAAAACAATGAAAATCGGTGCAACCGCTTTAATAGTATATAGTCTCAAGATACAAATATAGAACAAGACTTCAAGATCTGAACCATTCTCTATTCCTCTCTAGCATTCCTATTATTCTATACACCAAGAAGAAGAAGAAGAAGAAGCAGAAGACTACGAAGTACTTAAAACTGAAAATATTCTATGCCTTGTAAAATTTAATTATAGTTTTCCTATCCTCTCCCTCTCTCTCTCCCTATTTTCCTATTTGACAAATAGCTCTCTCTCTTTCTCCCTTTTTAGATTTTAGGTTAGTTTTGTAAGTTCTAGGTTATACATTAGAAATGTTGTACATTTTTTTCTAATTGGAGGCCTTCTGGAACCGCTATGTGGCTTATTACATTTATAGACAAACAACCAAAATACATATACATACATAGAAATATATTCATAATAATTATAGACTTAAAAAATATAATAAAATAGACCTATGTACTCTTAATTAATATACAAATTTAGAAATTTACACAACAACTACACACATTAAATACATATATATTGGTAGTGCAAAAAAAAACTAACAACGACAACACACAATTTTTTAATTTTAAATAAAATGAAAAAAAATATTTTAAAGATTTTACAACATTTTTAAAAAGAGGGAAAAGGGCCATAATGGCAACCAAACCTCTTGGCCCAATTCCCATAATTTTTTTATTTTAAACTCCTCCTCCTCTTATTTGTACTTATTGTAATTTATCTACTTTTTTCTAAATTTTGTTTTTTTTTCAATTTTTTTTATTTCTTTTGCAAAATTTTTTTATTGACTTTGTTTTTTAATTGAAATAAATGGAAAAAACACCAATAATTATACAGCAATAACCAAAGCATTTTTTGAGTGTATGTAGTAGTTTTTAAATTGCAACAACAACAAAATAAATATTTATATAAACGAAAAACAAAAATATTTGAATTATTACACCTTACTTATATTATTAATAAAAAAAACCACTACTATTGTACTATTTAAAAAACAATTGTAATTTTATTTGAAATGAAAATACTTATATACAAAATTACAAAAACAAAACCATATGAATAAATATTCAATAAAAATACAAAAATTAAAATAAATAAATTTTTGTTATTATTTTTTCTTAACAAACGCGGGAAGGGGAAATTAAAAACTCTGGGCTTTATACCCTGCTTCATAATGAAATGGTGTTTTTTTATTTTGTCATCAACTTGAAATATTCGCTATAGAGTCGAAAATGTACAGGGTGAGATGAAAACCTGCAACCAAGTTCAGACTGCTGTCGTTTCTAAGCCCGACGTCAAGGAAGTGGACGGAAGAAAACAGCAACATCAGCAGAAATGGTTCGAAAATTACGCCATAACAACCAATGGTCGCTCTCCTCTCGTATTAATCGACCGTGGCATTAGAATAAATGCCGAATATTATCATGAAAATATTATGGAGGATGTATCAAAGCCTGGACATTCCAAAAAGACTCAGCACGCTCCTTCCAAGAATGGTTACAAAATGAGGTTCCTCGCTTCATTTCCAGTGCACAATCTCTGGATACCAATCCATTGGACTATTGTGTCTGGAGTATTTTGAAAAGCAAAGTTGGCACTAAAAAATACCAAAGTGTCGATCACCACAAGCTAGCGATTCGCCGGGAATGAGCCAAAATAACGCAGAGCAACATTCGGACAGCGTGTGACGGTTTCATTGACCGTTTGAAGGCCATAATTCGTGCCAAATGTGACCGATTCGAATAAATCTAAACTTATTCTAAAATTTGATGCTATTTCCGACATTGTTTGCATTCATTCATACTGTATTTTCTTCTATATTACAAAAAATAAAAATTTTAATTTTTATTTTCAAAAATGTATGTGTCATCCTGCTTTTTAACATGGTGCTTTTTTTTTTTATATTATTTTGGTTGGCCCACTTTCTATAGGGATAGAAGGTTTAGTGCCATGTATCCGTATGTAGCTTTGCTACGAATTTGACTTTATCCATAGATGGTGGTTTGTGTTTTGCAGGTTGACTTCGATCTTCTTTAAGAATTTGACCACAATGTTCAGACTTTCTAAGCCTTGTGTATCAGTGAACTCTTCTACTGTGAAGGAGTCACATAGTAGCGAAAAGCATCTTCTTTTGCTATTAAATTTACGGAAATTAAAAATTTCATGCGCAGCTGTTTGGATTTTGTTGAACGACTCGTAATTTATAGGTTATCCGTATTTAAAAACACACGTGTTAGTTAAGCGAACGCTTAACAACCGCCATTTTGTAAAAATCTATTTTTAAGCCCATGGGCGTGTAGTACTCATTTAAAATTTTTTTTACGTCTTTCTTGTGAGCCGTCCGAGGACGAACTGAACATGGTGCTTTATTATGCTCTAAAGAAAGTAAATGCGATTCATTTGTACTGTACAAAATAAATCAAATAACCAATGCCATAAACCAAATATCAAGACCTGGGGTTTATGTCTCAGCTTGAATTAGCTTAATTCCTAAAATTACCACCCTGTGGTTCCCTCAAAAATTAATTTGCTTTAAACATGAAATTACAAACTTAATTAGCGTCTTGGTTTATAAATTGAGATGTCAAACCTATCTGTTTAGACTAGTATTCAAATGAAATGAAGTGGATTTGATAACTGCTATTAGTTTACGTATACACACTTCTTTCCTCATTGCTGTGACAATTTTTCAACCAATATTTGCATCATTTTCTTAGAAATTACTCTCCGAAAGGTCCGAAATGCGTAACATTTTTTGTTGTCCGAAATTAAATGAATATATATTATGAATGCATGTCAGCAGCTGCTATATATATATATATATATATTAGTTAGTCAGCTATTTTAAATATAAACTAAATTCAAAGAATACTTTCAGGAGTAACGATTTTTTTTGTGTGGGGGGAGGGGTTTGTTGCAGGGTTGTATTTGAAATTATTTCGATTTAGCATAGGATTTCGAGCAAATCGACATATTGAGTGGATTTCACTTTGTATGCATGTCATAATTACAGAAGGTAGTCTCATTTGAGAATTTGATTATTTGAAACTCATCTATCAATTTTAAATAATTTGTTTTTTTCCCGTACTCCAAGAATCTACTAGTTTTTACTACTTTCTTCGATATCATAAAGGAAAATGTGTTATCGTAGTAAAAAGTAGTTGATTCTTGCAGTACGGAAACAGACCATTTGGTTCGCTACCGTACTTTTTAATATGAAATTCCATAAAATTTTATGTATGTCGATTGGCATATTTTCAATAAATTAAACAAAATATATTTTCAAAAGTTGAACATTGCTCTCTCTCTTATATTTATAAGTTTTAGAGGCAAAGAACTTCAAAATATTTTTAAATATAATTTTTTTAGCAATTTTTGCCACTGAACACATAGTTTGCGTACATTTCGAAGGAAGATATTTTCATTTAAATTTTGAAAGCTGAATACTGTCAAAGCAAATTTATGAAAATATTGAAAACATGAAACATATGGTATGTTCCCGTACTGCAAGAATCTACTATTTTTTACTGCGATAACACTTTTTTCTTTATGATATCGAAGAAAATAGTAAAATCGAGTAGATTCTTGCAGTAGGGGAACAGACCAATAATTATGCCATGATAAGAAGAAATGTATGACTTGTGAATGAATCAATATGTAAATCGTATTCTCAACTCGATTTTGAAAAGAAAACCTGACATTTCATTAATTTTTCGCGTTTTTTGTTGCATATGTTTTCATTTATTCGGATATTATTGCCCCTAAGGAAGGGTACATTTTCTTTCTGACAAAAGCTACCTTGTATAATTGTACCATGTGTGCACATTCATATCCATTGTTTATTGCTTGTACAAAGTTTTACTGAATAATTTTTTCCAGTAAGACTTAAGGTCCATTTACATATACGATTTTAAATCGACTCGATTAACGAAATCCAGAAATACATCCTAATTGTTTACACATACCATTAATTATGACCTAAATGCCGATCGGCTGATGTTTGTTAGTATACATACAAAATTATGAATTTGCGCCAAAAATATTTTTCTTTGCAATTTGTAAATGAAAAGAAAAATTACAACAATGGAATTTTTTTTTCAAAGCTGTTATCGTTTGGAACGTAAAAAAACCCACATAAAAACACTCAAAATTGAAAAATAATTTTTATTTTCCTTTGATCATTCATTTTTTATTTGGCAACCGTTAAATTTAAAAATAAACAGCATGTAGAAACAGTTGCAAATTTTGGTACTTTGTTTGAAAGTTGTATTTTTTCGTGCAAAAACTGCATTGGATCTATTAGTATTATGATTTTAAAGGTCGTTTACATTAAATCGGATTTGGTTAACCCTGTGGGTTTAAATTTTCAATTCCTTTGAATATATGCCAAATAAATCCTCATAATGTAGGTTAACCCGGTAAAAAGTTCTAATGTAAATGCCGTTTTAAACTCCTTGTACATTAGAACTTTTTACCGGGTTAACCTACTTTATGAGGATTTATTTGACATATATGCAAAGGAAATGACAATTGAAACCCACTGGGTTAACGAAATCCGGTTAAATGTAAACGTACTGTTAAATTTGTATGATAAATCATGGTAAATTCAGACTGATTAAGAAAATAAACCCTGATACAGCCTTTAATCATGATTAGATTTTATATGTAAATCCGCTTTTATCAATACTCAGTAATACAAAATTCGAAATAGCTGCCTCAATTCACAATTAATTGTGAATTGTTACAAAATATCCAATACGCCGACATACTTAATATGTCATTTACAATTATTGAAATTTACTTTCATTTATATTATAACAAAATGAAATCCAAATATTAAAAAATTGCATATATCGTCTAAGCGGACAGCAAAAACAACAACGAACAATTTAATCGGCAAAACAATAAAAAACGACTAATAATGAAACGATACTAAAAAAAATAGATGAACTAATGAGCTTGTATAGTTCCGATCGTTCCTTTCTCTGAGTAGTTCGAATGAACTTGTTCCGGCACGACACACCATCTATCCAACCAGCCGGCCGGCGAACAGTTTTGTTTTGGAATGTTGAAATCAGCAGCTTCAAGAAGTCAACAGTTTTTAAGATTTTACGGAAATATGTCTGGAGGTTTAGCTCTCAAGGAAGTTGTTACCAGCTTGGAACAATTTGCCCCCTTATCCTATGCCGAGAAATGGGATAACGTGGGTTTGCTGTTGGAACCATATGATCAGACGTAAGGGAATTACCCTCGAATGCGATATTTTATTTAATATGTAATACATATATATATCATTTCCCTTTTAGACCCGTGGAGAAGATTCTACTCACGAATGATTTAACGGAGGCTGTTATGCGGGAAGCCATCGACAAGAAAGTCAATATGATTCTATCGTATCATCCACCAATATTTGCTGCACTCAAGAGGATAACCCAGAAGTATGTAACGGATTTTGGCAAAAGTTGAATATATGAACTGAACTGGGATCGAACTGAAATTTTACCATACATTGGTTTTGGTATGGTAATTATGGCAATATATATTTTTATTAAATTCGCACACGGTGCTAAAAGAATTATATTTTTTAAATTTCATATATTGCTATGAAAATGTTATTGGAATTAATTTTTGGCATCAACTATTTCAAAAATTGTTAATTTTTACGAAGGTTTTGTTTGCGTTAGTTGAGCTGTCCATCTGTCCATAGGAGAAGTATGGACTTTCCCCACATAACCAATATATAATAAGCTTACAGTACATAACACTTGTACAAATGTCGGATCGATTTCGGTCCAGCTTCTATTTTCAACTTGTTCCCTGATTTCTCATAAAAGTTTTATTAAACAAATATAAATATTTTCGTTTGTATTTTAGAGATTGGAAACAACGTATTGTAACGATGTGCTTTGCCAACTCCATTGCTATGTATTCACCCCACACAGCCTGGGATGCTACGTTGGGTGGTGTAAATGATTGGCTTGCAAGTGCATTGCCAGTGAAGGATGTCAAACCCATACAGGTATTTATTAAAAAACAATGAATAAAATATAATCTTAGACTAAATATAGGGTAAGTTTTCTTAATATTGACATGTAAAAGTAAAAAAATCCTATCACTGAATATGAAAACTACATTGAATAATCTTCAATAATATTGTCATCTATCTCTGAAATTCTCTGTCATCTATCTCTGAAAAAGTTTTCTTAACCTATAAAGTGAGTGTATTAACCATGCCGAGTATTTGATAATTTTTTCCTAAAGTTGGCAATTTAATTTTTTAATCAATTAATTTTAGTTGTTTGGCCCAATATAGATGGAAAGTATTTTAATACCATTTTATAAAAGAAAATAATAAACAAATCGATCAAATATATAATTTTCTTCAATTACAATACGATATGCCGACTATAGAAACATGTCATGACGACGATTAGTAACTGGTGTCGAATATTGCCAAAGAAGCACTATTTTACTAAATTGTCAAACTAAATAAAATGTTGTTCATGACATCGGGAAGCTTCAAAAGTGATAGCTACCGAAATGTCAGGTATTAAAAAAACATCTCTTGTTGAAGATTCCATTATTATTAAACTTAAATATAAAAGTACATGAAAACCTTCCTGAATTTCTATCATTTTTTGAAAGTTTATTTATGTATGTGTGACACACACAATGCATGAAGAAAATCAAAATAGTTTTGATTTTGAAAATGAATACCTATCAATCTGGTGAATAATATTCATTTTGAAAGTTGTCAGTTGTTTTGTGTACAAAAATAAAAAAAGTGTGACGGAATAAAAAAACAACTGAATTTACGACTCAAAATGCAATTTTTGGGACAAAAATCGATTTTTTAGAATAGTGATTGAAGAGTTTGCCATACACTCGTCAATCTCACATATACAAAAAGGGGTTCATCGGCATGACGGCATGATTTATAGTGTATGGGGCCCTTTATACCCTCAGGCTTATGGCTTATGAGGGTATATCGTCATCATAAATGCAAATGGTCGTAACTACAGAAAAATTCGAAATTGACTTTTTGTTTGATTATTGTTCGTCTAATCAAACTACACGTTCACACAAAATTTTAGACATCTAACGTAAAAAACAGCGATCTAATTAAAGAAATTCAAATTCAATAGCATGTTTTTATCAGGGACCGAAAATAACAGTTATTTTTTAAAATGCGAACAAAACAATCTTCATGTTAGAGACATGGGACATATATAGTGTCATATACGAATAGATTCGTATTGAGGAAAAAATAAAACTCCCAAAAAGAGTTTTATTTTTAACGGAAAAAATAAAAATCCCAAAAAGAGTTTTATTTTTGACGGAAAAAATGAAAATCCCTAAAAGAGTTTTATTTTTAACGGAAAAAATAACAATGATTTTTAACAGTTAAAAATCAATGTTTATTTTTTTCCGTTAAAAAATAAATAATAAAAGTGGATTTTTTTTATTTAGGCCACAAAATAACAGTTATTTTTTACCTAATTTGATATAACTTATAACCATTACGGTCCCTGGTTTTTATAAATGCAAACACTCCTGTAAAAAACTAAAAGTCGCAATTGTAGATAGAAATTCTGAAATTATATATTTATGTTACTTTTGGGACGTTTGGTATTGAAAATGAGATATATCGGTCATTTTTTACAGTAGCCCCCATATAGCGGTACCCCAAAAAGAGGTATTTTAAGGCTTTTCCTCGTTTTATTAACTAATTAGCTATAATTAGGTATTTTTGTTTCCCACTGGGTGGAAAAGTACCCTGTGCAAAGTTCTATCGCTATCGGAGAAATATTTAATGTCTTTAGTACAACATTTACATAAAATCGGTCGAAAATGTATATGGGAGCTATATCGAAATCTGAATCGATTTTCACGAAACTTAGCACGCATCATTCTAGACTCAATTCAGTACGCTACGCAAAATTTCGTGCAAATTGAAAGAAATATAGGGCATTTAATGCACTATTTACACAAAATCGGAAGAAAATATGTGTGCGAGCTATGTCTAAATCTGAACCGATTAAAAAAAAAACAAAAAACAAAACACACGTCACTCTAGACTCAGTTTAGTACGCTGTACAAATTTTAGTCTCAACCAGATAATTATTAGTCATTTTGTTGTACTAAAATTGTATTGTAGGTACGTCCTTTTGTTTCAAAAAATATCGTGTCAAAAGGACGTAACAGACATAAAAACTTTAAAAACGAAAAAATTTTATTTTTGTTTTCCAAAAAATAAATACGGCTCTATAGTGTGGTTAAACTTTGAAAAAATTTTCATCCATACTCCATTCTTATAGATTTCATAATGTTTTTTGCTTCTCCTGTAAAATTAGTAAAAGTATAGCTACGTGCGTTTGCATTTATGATGACGATATGCATTGATACGGCATAAATGTGCCTCATTGAAAATATTCTTTGGACCAAATTCGTTTTAGAAAATTTGGAGTCGATTTACAAATGTCCGTTCGTCCGTTGTCCTTCTGTCTGGCCGGCTCACGATAACTCTTGAAGGGAATAATCGATTTCATCCAAACTTTGCATATCCTAGTATTTCTTCCAGACTTAGTTCAAGTTCGATGATGGGGAATATCCGTCCATTCCTTCTGGTACGTCCCACACAAAATGGTCAAAATTGTGCAAAAAAAAATAATTTTATAATATCAATAACAGACAATACTATTTGAACCAAACTTTGTACAACCTACTATCTTAACCAAGCCTAGAGCAAGTAGAAAGATGGACCCATTCCTTCTGGTACCTCCCCCACAAAGGGTCAACATTTTCAATATTTATAAATCCAATATCAGGCGAATGGAATGTTCGATTTGAACCAAACTTTGTACAACCTATTATCTTTACGAAGCCTAGATCAAGACCGAAGTTGGCCCTCTCCTCTCATCTCGTATAAAATGTTATAATTATAAGAGACGCTTTGGGGGTTTGCTGAATTTATAGTTATTTTAAACATCGTTCCCTTTGGTTTAGCAAATTTGTCAATTCACTGTACTGTAATTTGGAGAAGTCAATTGGATTTTAACCCTTTGAGCCCCGAATTTTCCCCCGCAATTTTAGAACAAATTTCTGTTCACAGATTTAGAGCAACTATCCTACATCCATGCACACTACATCCATGCGCACGGGACATACAGTACATTCATTCGGAAATATTGAAGTTCAATATATAGAAAATCAAATGCAAAATAGGCAGAAAAATTATTTTAAATTATTCTCTATATTCATTTTTACAAAAATCAAAAATAATTCTGATAGCAGTATACATACAATACGAAACGATTTAAATAATTTGGACTTTATGCACAAATTGGTACTGTACACAAATTTACCCTTTTCTCTATATTGTAAAGCTTATAACTTTACCAACATTTTGTTTTTTTATTTTTCTTTTGATATGTGTCGTCCATAATATCTACTAGCTGCATATAGAATATATGATCTAAAATCTTTTCCCACTAGGTAGGCATCGATGTAAAAATTAATAGGTCGTCAAAAGCTTTTTGTAACATCTGCATCGAAAGCAATGAAGAAAGGTTTAAGTCACTAGCAAATATTGGAAGGTACGATATACTTCACCTTGAGAGTAACAGGACAAAGAGTGGCGTGTTTAATCGGATGAACAGTTGTACCCAACTTGTCATTTTAATGAAATGTTGCACCCTTGGTGTTGGGTTAAGGCAAATATTATTTGTTGCCCCGATTTGTTTAACTTGTTTGATATATTCGAAAAATAATAAAAAATGATATTAAATTAATATACAAAACTCTTTATGTCGGTAATGTGCATGTTCACACATTTCCAAAATCATAATATATTTTAATGCGACTTCTCTTAATTTTTCATTTATGATAAATTAATTATCATAATGATTGGTCAATTTTTGCTTTACAGCCTTTTGACGCTATGTGTAATACATTAAATTTTCAATGGCAATCATTAATGCGATAGCGATATTCCATAACAACGATCACTGTTGGCAACAACAACACACACAAACAAATTACTGATTAAGTAATAAACAAAAGAAGTGGTCATTAAACAATTAAATGTCAATAGAAGCAATACGACAAACAAACGCTCGTACATATGTACCCCTGTGCATTGTTTTATGTTATGACAATTTTTAAGCGAATTGACGTAGGTATTGAAATTTTTAGGGAGATGAAAAGTCAGTTTTTTGCTCTACTTGCTGTTTTCCTTTTCATAAAACCGACAGTAAATTTGAAATGGCGCCTATAAAATTAAAGAACGTGTGCCGTCTACGGATATAACATCGCTGTTAGTCACTTGGAAAAGTTTAAAAATTGATATTTATCTGGATCATTTAACATTTCCAATTCGGGTGGTTGTCTACTGATAAAAAAAATAAGATGTTTTTTGTTGCTCCGACGTATTGCTAATATCGAATAGAGTATATCGGGGCATGTGTTTGAATCGGAGATATTTTAATTGTGTATAATTGGTAACTTCCTAATAATTTCCATTTCAAATTGTTCTCCATTCCATTATTAGGTATATAGTTGCATGTTTGGTCTATTATAAAGGCACCGGCCATACATAGAATTGAATCAGTATGATGAAAAATTAATTATTAATTTCAAAATTATTTTCGCAGACCTTAAATTATTTTCACAGGCCTGCAGTGCATTTTAAAAATGACAAAAGATATTTCAATTATTTGTGTATGAAATGGAGACCTTACTACTACGCTTTATAGTAAGCCCAAGTAGTTGTGTCAACATTTGACAAATGGAGACCCCACACTTGGAAAAAGGTAGTAAGTTTGATCCGGCTGTTCTAGGTGTGGATCCCTTGGCACCTACAGCTGTACCTGCTACAAGTGCACCAATTCAAAACCAAAATGATGACGAACCGGATATTCCTTTGGCAAAAGAACATGTCAAGACTGATGAGAATCAGTCTTTGGCTGACAGGACTGTAGTTCTGGGAGGGGACGATCTACATGGGACTCTAGTCTTGAGGAACAAACCAAGGAACTCTTCGACCAGTTAGACAGACTGGCACCGGAAGATCAATGTGGGGACACGCTTCCGGAGGAACTGCTATTAAATCTCACCCTGACTGATGATGAGCTGGACACCACGGTGATCCCAGCCAAGTCTACACAGGGGGGTTGCCATATTAGTAACGAAGGAAGTGTGGACCCTATTGTCCGACCGACCTCCAGTCTGACTTCAACAGGTCCTGTGTCGGCACCAGCCGACAAACTTTAGAGGCAATCTGCAACAGAGGTGATGTCCGACGATGAGGAATGTGTTGATACCCCGAAAACGGACAGAGCCTCGAATGTTGGGACAGCCCAAGAAATGACTGATGCGAAGCACTACAAATGTGCTGTTTCGTATCTTCGCAAATTCGTGGGGAGAGACGCGAATTTGATCTCCGAGAGGGAGGTACACCTTATCAAGGGTAAGATGAGATATGTGAGGAAATTCGAGAGAATCTATCCTCACGCTATCCATCGTGAACTCGAGATGGACAAGATCTCCCTCCCAAATCTCATTACTCGCACAAAAGTAGTAGAATCGGCGAAGCCCACTGTCTCTGACAAAGGTGCTAAGCCGACTTCTGACCTGAAGCCCAGCTCTAATCCCGAACAAAAATGCACAGGAAAAGGCAACTGAGAGTATCCCAAAGCAAAATGTCACTCATAAGGATGTCACATTTGACAGAAACAGCAATAAGTTAAAAAGAAGAACAGGATCCTTAGTTGCCGTTCAACTGCGCAGAGCTTTATAACAGATGGTCTGGGGCTACTCAATGAAGACGTATTCGGACTTGTCAGAGACTTGGACTTGCTCATGACGGCAGTGAACCATCTACATGAGGAGACAAATATCCATCCCATACGTCACCGTATCTGTGTCCTTTTTTTACCAGCTTGGGTATTTCTGAAAGGATCTGCACGACCAAGAGAGTTGCTATAATAGAAAAGAGATCCTCTAGAACAGGAAGCCTATGCAGAAAATTTTAATAGAATTTCTGTTGAAGTTTTCATCTCGTATTCGCTGAAGGACTATTCGTTGACTAGTGTTGAATAACTCGATTCTTTAATTCCGATGAAGACTCAGGTTTCCATGCGATTTATATATATTTTTTAAATATTATAAAAAATCCCGTAGATTATATATATATATATATATATATATACATTATGTTATATTTTATATTATATTTTATCATTTGATAATCTTTCTTATTCTCTCTATAATATCATAATTTCGAAATAATATGCGTGTGTGTATGTGGTGCATTCAAGGTAAATATTACCATAATTTGTTTATTAGATTAATTATTAAATATTCTTTAGAGTTTTGTCTTTGTACATAGTTTTTTCTAAATCAATTATTTACAAATGAAATGATTGGACATTCTGCTTGTCCATTTAGTTTATGCCTTAATCTCTTTTTTGTCATTAACCATAATAGCTTCAACTTCTTTATATTTAATATCCTCCTTTTCGATAGTTTCTTCTTCCTCGTCTTTGTTGCTATTACGGAAGAAGATCTTCTTAATTAGATAGATTATAAGTAATGGAATTGGTGTCATCATTGAATTTGCCATTGGGACAGCACTTGTCATATCCGCCTGTGGTTGTGGCAACGTGAAATTCAACATAAAGATGGCAATACCAATATTTTGTATACCCGTCTCAATGGCAATTGTGATGGCATCACGCGACGATTGACGGCATATTTTGGCCATAACCCATCCGAGTAAGTAGCCCAACCATGAGAGGGCACTGCTGGCAATAAGAATCTGGAAAGGAAAGAGGAAGTAAAATTAGTTGTAGGAATTTTCATAAATAAAATAAAAAATACGCAAAAGGAGTCCAAAGAGTCCTGTTATAAAATTGGGTGATGTATTTATAGTGGGAAATACATATTGACCTAATATGAAAATTAAATTTATATCAATATCAATTCTACCTAGATAAAATGCATAGTGAAAAATCATTTTAAATAGCGCTACAATACCTACAAGTTGATAAATTCCCCAAGTTATATTGTTTCTAAAATTCTGATAATCAGTCTAACTCTGTTAATTATAGAGCTTCGGAACATTGCTGGACACATTTAAATCTATATATCCAGCAATATAAAGATTGCTTTTATATTGCTGGATATATAGATTTAAATGTGTCCAGCAATGTTCCGAAGCTCTATAATTAATATTTTGTCGATCTCAGAAATAATGTCGGGAATCAGACAAAATTTAACGAAACTAAAAAATGTTTTGACTTATGAACGGGATATTAATTTTGTCACTCCGTTTGGAATACTTTCAAATATTTTATATCCATGTCCGTCGGTTGAAAACGCAATAGAGTTCACAACATTAAAAAATAGTAGTTTGGTATTCGATACAGGATAAACTGGTCTTTAAAATAACGTTGGCATAACATTTCAATGATATTTTCAAGGTCCCTGCTTGATTTTCTAGACTATGATGTCAGAGAATAAAGAACTTCCTGACTAAAATTTGTCAACATGTCCATGTTTTGATAGTCCCAATATACAGTCTCGCCCTATTTTAGGATTTTATGCGCCTTCGACATCAAGAACAAATAATTGAACTGCCGGTTTGTTGTGGATAAATGGTTGGGGTCTTCTAAAAGAGGTTTACATCCCCCTTCAGATGAAATGAATCCAAAGCCCCCTGACAACCTCGGCATCTACACATGATGAGAATAACACAGAATGGAAAAGGCAGGAGCGCCTCCCAGAGGAAAATATCAAAACTAAATAAGCAAAGACCCCAACCACTGCATAAAATTGAAGGAAATGTTGTTTCTAGACAACAGTAGATGGCCGTCTCATCACCCAGGACAGGTTACAACAGACTAATCATCTACTTAGCTGGAATAACTGGAACAATGATTAACGAAGCTATCAAACAAGAACTAATTGAGCTTGATGGCGATGTTATAGATCGGAAATATCCCGGAACACTACGCCGCCTATTATCCGAAAAAAGTCCTATATTTATATAGTTTATTTGATATATCCTGCGGTTCGATTATCCAAAAAAACTCCTATATGCATATAGTTTATGTGATATATCCTGTGCTTCGATTAAGGTCACTTTCCAATTATTTTGACAAGGTAGAATACCGAAACGGCTCATTGCCACTTAAATAACTTTGAACGTCTTCATACATGTTGGAATGCATGTAAATGTCTGCTGGGGATTAAGAATCGGATACCAAAAACAAGTAAAAAAATATCAGTCGATTTTGCGAACAGATATATACACCAGCCTATGGTTTGTAGAGGTCTTCAGAATTACACACATGTTTTATTATTTGCAATATGAAATTATGACCCTATGTGGGGGAATAACCAGAAGGAGAGGACCATCTTCGGACTTGATCTGGGCATAGTAAGGATAAAAAGACATTCCATTAGCCTGATCTTGGATATTCAAATATTAAAAATTTTAACCATTTGTGGACCAATGGGTCCCATCATCGGACTTGATATGGGCTTGTTAAATATAATAGGTAGTGCAAAGATTGGTTCAAATCGGACATTTCATTTGCCTGATATTGGATTTATAAAAATTTAAAAGTTTGACCCTTTGTGGGGGAGGTACCAGAAGGATTGGATCAATGGGTCCCAATTTCTCCATATACTTGATCCAGACATGGTAAAGATAATAGATTGTACAAAGTTTGCTTCAAATCGGATAGTCCGTTCGCATAATATTATAAAATACATAATTGTTTGCTCAATTTTGACTATTTTGTGGGGGAGGTACCAGAAGGAGTGAATCGATATTCCCCATCTTCGACTTGAACTATGATTAGTAGAAATATTACGATGTGCAAAATCCGACCGGTCGGACGGACATTTGTAAATCGACTCCAAATTTTCTGAAACCGATTTGGTCCAAAGAAACATGGGGTCTAAAACCAATATTTTGATGAGGCACATTTTCACCGTATCAAAGTGTATATACTATCATTAGCCAAAAGGCAACATTCTACAGGAGGTCAGTCGAATCTTCATGAAGCTCGTCGTAACATCAATGTAACTTCTACATATGCAAAAAGCCCTAAATGAAATTCCTTGAAGTCCCGTCAATCTAAAACTAAATCAATAAAGACACCCACCATTCACAGCATCTATTCAATAGTTATTCTTTATCCCCAATTCGATTCGTATCGATCTGTGATTATATTCGAATTTAAGGATCAGACTGGAGTTACACTCTTATGGTATAACAAATTTCAATATAGTTTCCATGTAGATATGTATAGTTTCCATATAAAGGTGGTTATTCGTATTGGGTACGGGTTGATGTCAGCGTACAGAATGTATGCCCAGCGTATGGTACAGGCCCGCACACCACCCTGCCAAGCCTACTCATCCAGTGGAAATAGCTGCATTTCTTCTTCAACGGAAGCAGCTGGAAGCGTATTAACATTTTCGTATTTTTAGCCGATCTTCATAATAATTTAAAGTCTTTTCCTCACATTTTTTTTTTTGCATTTGACCACTAGTAATAAAATGACTTTCCCTCTATACAATTTCAACGATCCACACCATAAAATGGTCATCCGATCGATCAAATTAAAATAAAAATAGTTACTTCACTTCCGACCCACTTACCTTCCATGAAAACAGCTTATAAATATAGGTATTGACAGTAAACGAAAATCCCATTATACCAACAACGAAAATCAATGCCAACGGCTTCAGCACCTTGATCATTTTTTTAGCAAAATTTGGTGCAAATTTCTGTAGGCCAATACCAATGCAAAGGGGCAACACCAGAGAAAAGCTCATGCTGGCAATCATTTTATACGGCACAATCAAATTACCGTCCTCGAAGATGAGAGCACCCAAAGTGAAGATCCACAATGGCATCATGCCGAAGGCAAGCAAATTACTAATGGCTGTCATCGTAATGGACAAATTCAAATTGCCACTTAGCAGCACTGTGAAAATATTCGAAGCACCGCCGCCAGGTGTCGAGCCGGTGAAGAACAAACCTAAACGCAATTCAATCATATCACGGAACAGGAAATAACCGATGGAGAAACTCAAGATGGGCATTATTAAAAATTGACCGACAAAACCAATTGCTGGACCGATGGGCTTCAGCAGAATCCTTTTCAGAGCATCCAATTCCAAGGCCGCACCGAAGTTAACATACAGCAGCATTACAAACCCACCAACTAAAGTACGAAAAGCCACATCCAATTTGTCAATTTTACGCAATATTATCACATCCATAGTTTCGGCAGCTGTCTCGGTCTCCTGATTGGGGCTTCTCAGCTCTACATAGACGGGAGTGCGACCCAATAAGATACCCTCCATTGTGAAATTTCCCTTCCATGATGTCTGGCCAACTTTTAAGTCTTTGGCTGTTATGATATTGTGACTTAAACGTATCAAGCCCATATCGCCGGGTACGATGTGCAATTCGAAATCAGGACTCCAATTTGGATCGATTTTGACAATTTCAATCTGCAAAACTTTGCTTTGTTTCATGGATACATTGACGAGTTTCTCTTCAAAGTTCACCTGCCACGTAGGGGCAAATTCTTTGGGGAAATCTTCATCGGTGAAATTCAAGGGATTGTCATTCGCATTTATGGTCACATTTTGAGTCAAAACACAATCCAGTGTCTGGATAATTAACAACACACACACGATATGTTTGAAGATTTTCATTTTGTTATCACTTTCTTCTTCTTATTCCTCTTCACTGTTTATTCAATTTATATATCCCCGTTCTTCGATTACTTTTCGTTCGTTAAGGACTCTTTTTTGTCCTTTTCAGCGTTTATTTCGCGTATGTCTAACACCCGCCCATTCGGCCAACCGACTGATTTAAATGTTTCTCATGCCGTTACTTTTATTCCAAATTTTAAATCGCCTGAAATGAAGATAAAGACCACTCTCTATCTGCCAATTAAACAGCAATTTCTTACATTCTGATCTGATATGGTTGATATGTTTACCACCACCGGCCCCCTTTCCGATTTTATTGTAGTTTATCGTTTGCCGATAGACGAATGTTGTAAAATCATAATGAGTATTCTTAAAAATTAAACGGAAATAATAGTCGTATTTTTTCTTTCTTTTTGAATTAGAGAAGTTTTTATAAAGTTCTCTGTGTTTGAAGAACAAATATGGGTCAATGTGGCCATTTTTGTCGGTCTATTCGTCCCATTGGAAATGAGTCCACTTTTCGTAACTCGTCCATATAAAAATTCGGTCCTATTGTATCTCTCTAACGGTATTTTTACATTACTCTTTCTCAGTAGTTTCATACCAAGAAAAATTTTAATCTCCTTGCCGAAATTTGAATCGTCGAAGGTATTTATGCAACAAAACTTCTTCTAGACTTCAGCTTTCTTCAATGCCACTGAGGAGACGAGAATGTCATTGGATTCGCAAGCCAATTGGAAAAGTATTAAAGCTCGTTTCTCATATATATGAGGATACGAATGTTCTTCCATTACGTTTCTACGATTTTGATATAACCACTTCGGTTGAAAAATTAAATTACTTAAAATTAGGCGGTACCTTTATATGTGTGATATGCCACAACTTGGACCTATATTGATGTTTTCTGCAAATATATTTCTCAATTATAATCCCTTTCAGTTGGAAAATGCGGGTAAACCCTTCTGAATGCCGAAAAAGGGAACGGCGTTTTTTCGTCATCCATGAACCCGAAATGGCAAATTACAGCCCCTTTCATTGAAAATGCAAAATGCGACTGAACCCGTTAAATGTTTACCACAGTCTGGTGGATCATAAACCCCAATTGTTGTTATACCCAGTCTTATGGGTAATGAGGGTTTATATACTTTGATACGGCAAAAATGTGCCTCATCGAAATATTGATTTTAGACCCCATGTTTCTATGGAACAAATTGGTTTCCGACAATTTGGAATCGATAACTCTCGAAGGTAGTAACCGATTTCATCCATTCACATCGTAATATTTCTTCCAAACTTAGTTCAAGTTCGAAGATGAGGAATATCGGTCCACTCCTTCTGGTGCCTCCCCCACAAAATGGTCAACATTGTGCAAAAAATAATTTTATAATATCATGCTAACGGACTATCCGATTTGAACCATACTTTCCACAGCCTATTATCTTTATCAAGACTGCATCAAGTCCGAAGATGGGACCCATTGGTCCACTCCTTCTGGTACATCCCCCACTAATTTGAATCTAATAACCGATTTAAGCAGCATTAAATCGGAAATCTCTTTAATAAAAACATATATCTTATATAAAGTGAATAATAAAACCTGTGTGTAATTCCACCGTAATCCAGGGACTAAGGGTATACAATAGTGACCAAAACTAAAGCAACTGAATAAATAACCTGTAACTTTTTCAAAATAAAGTTAAAGTGAACGTATTTTCATTTAAAAAAAATATATATAAACGCCAAATATTCTTTTGAAATAAAAAATATTATATGCAAAACAAAATTGACCCAAAGTTTACATGGTCAAAATTAAAGCAACTTTTAGATATTTTCTTATAAATACGTAAGTTTTGCTAGTAATCAACAGCGTAGCCATTATTTTTCATTACGGAGGACACCTACCAGGCATTGACTCAATAAAATGCTCAATTTGATCCTTGGTATACTTTTCCTTGCATCCTGAACCTTTAGGAAAAGGTTATGTCTGTTTATTAGTGAAACTCTTTTTTTGATTTTGCTATCTGATGATTGTTTTGGACATTATATAAACCCTGTTTTTTTACTACCGCAACAGATCTTTGCAATGTTTTTATGTATGTTTTGAAACAACCAAACAAACGGTATATTTTCTTCCGCGAAGAGAAACATAGCGTTTCCAACACATTTGTATAAACAATCCGATCCTTTACTTCATAAATATCGTAAATATATCAATCTCCATAAAAAACAGCCAATATCATTACCGACTCTCCTTCATACTTCCCAGTACCTTCAATGCTGTGGCATGATTCCTTCATTTTTAAACTTTCTCACGATTTTTTTCATACCTGAGACTTTAATATTTAACTTTAATTCTTCCGAGAGCATAATATTTTTCCACTGAGTCGAATTCCAATTGATATGAGCTTTTGCGAAAGGCAGTCTGGCTTTCCGATTCTTTTCAGAAATAATAGAACTTTCTTGGTAGTTTCCGGGCATTTATACCTGCTATCATAGCTCGTCCACGCTCTATTCTGTCTGTCTGTCCATGATTAGAAGAAATTTGGCACAGCTCATTCATTTGGCCCAAGGACAAACCCTATTGAAATTGGGAAAAATCGGTTCAGATTTAGATATAACTCCCATATATATTTTAGTCCGATATAGGGTAAATGGTTCACCAAAGTCCCTATATATCTCTCGATTTGCACGAAATTTGACACAGCATATTCACTTGAGCCTAGAATGATGTGTGCTAAGTTTGGTAAAATTCGGTTCAGATTTAGATATAGATCCCATATATATTTTCGTCCGATTTAGGGTAAATGGTGCACCAAAGACCCTATATATCTTTCGATTTGCACCAAATTTGCCATAGCGTACTGAATCAAATCAAGAATGATGTGTGCTAAGTTTCGTGGAAATCGTTTCAGATTTAGGTATTGCTCCCATATATATTTTTGTCCGATTATACATAAATTGTGCACCAAACTCCTAATGTTTGTCCGATTAACACGAAATTTTGCACAACGTATCAAATTGAGACTTGAATGACGTTACTGGGTTTTGTTGAAATTGGAACCATAGCTTCCATATGTATAACGGGTGTAACGAATAGCGTGTATCAATTTTGCTATAAATCGTTTTCCATAAATTTGTCCAATGGTACGTAGACGACACTAAATCTTCCCGAATGAAATAAAATTTATCATAGTTTGCAGAAAGACATGAGTATGTTCCTTCGAGGGAACATTGACATACAATTGTAAGGATATATATGTACAATATACCCATAGTGGTGAAGGGTATCATATAGTTGGCCCATTCCGACTTTACAACTTTCCTTATGGAAGAATATTAAAGCAGGCTTCACTTTGTGTTTAAATAAAGCGGGTCCCACGTTGGGCGCCAATAAAGCAACTCTTGAGCGGAGCTGGCATGCACACTTTCAGCTTATGATCTGAGTCCATCAACTTGGCCAAGCGTGTGGTTAATGATCTTAACTTTCAGTGTTCCCTAAACCAATGAGAGTCGGATTCGGAAGTGTCTTTATTGAAATTAGATTCAGCTTAGGTACTACTTACGAGAAGCGAGATTCTTAGTATGAGTTGTGTAATAATGTAGTAATATCAGTGTAGTTTTTTGGTACTATTTACAAAATATTTACATAGTCAACCGTTAATTTCAAATATTGAAATATGTGTTACATTTTAGTATTCAGATGATTAATAAAACTATATAAAAAATAAAATTTGAAAAAAATAGAGTTGATCCGTTTCAATACTTTTGTTTTAAAAATAAAAATGCACATGATGATTGTTTATTATGTTATTATTGCGTATAATATGTTTAAAATCACAAAATATAGGTGGAACGCCATAAAAATAAAATTTAAATAGATACTAAGGTATGTGTTGCATTTTTTAAACTTAATTTCTCGTTTGGCACAAACGGTTGATTTGAAGTAAGACCGAAGAAGATAAGGCTACCAAATGTTCCTCTTACATATACTTAATATTGCGAATAATAAAATATTAAAAATTAAATATTAAAAAATAATACTGCAATTATCGTTAGAATTAACGAAATTACTAAAAAAACGCCAGAAACAATGTTAAAAACAAATACAATTTATATTGTAGAATTTGTATTTGTAAGTCTCATTGTAATATTTTTAAAATTGGGACTCATCAGGTATCTTCTGCTACCTTCCCCACAACGTGTCAAACTGTAGTATATTTACACCCTTCACCACACTGTGGTACAGGGTATTATGTCTTTGTGCATATATTTGTAACAGGCAAAAGGAAACGAGATAGACACATGGTTCCTTTTGAGAATATGCATAGAATCACTTTTTAAGTCGATTTATGCATGTCCGTCCGTCTGTCTGTCCACGTTAAATTGTAAACAAAGTACAGGTCGCATTTATTATCCGAATTGGATGAAATTTGACATACGACACTTATTTGGCCCAAGGACGAACCCTATTGAAATTGAGTAAAATCGGTTCAGATTTATATATAGCTCCCATATATACTTTCGTCCGATTTAAGGTAAATGGTGCACCAAAGTCCCTAAATATCTTTCGATTTGCACGAAATTTGGTATAGCGTACAGAATAAAGTCTAGAATGGTGTGTGTTAAGTTTCCTTAAAATCGGATAAGATTTAGATATAGCTCCCATATATATTTTCGTCCGATTTAAGGAAAATGGTGTACCAAAGTCCCTATATATCTTTCGATTTCCACGAAATTTGGTACAGCGTACTGAATAAAGTCTACAATGATGTGTGTTAAGTTTCGTGAAAATCGGTTCAGATTTAGATATAGCTTCCATATATTTTTTCGTCCGATTTTAGATAAATAGTGCATCAGAGTCCCTATATATCTTTCGGTTTGCACATATATCTTTCGTCCACATATATCTTTCGTAATGAACTTAGTAAAACCTATAAGTTAGATATAAATGCTGCACCGAGTTCCCCAGGTGGGTCCGATTTACACAAAATTTTGCACAA